TTGTTTAGAGAAATTGAATCGGGAGAAAGATGGTGAAGATGAAGGATTCAGACAAGAACTAGACTGGATTATTGTAACAGAGTTGCTAAGAGAAGTTTCAGAGACTGTAGAGAATCAAGAAAGGAGTGAAGCAAACAAGAAAAAGATGATTGAGGAAGAAGGAAGCAGAGCTATCTTAGGAATTTCTTTATTAAATGATGATTTTGACTTCAAGATTCAAGAGAAGTTAAAGATGGTATCTATCAGGTGAGTATAGAAAAAAGGTTCTTGAAAAAGTTATATATATATGTTGAATCTTGATGATCTTTTGTTTCTCTTTGGAGGTTACAAAACTTGGAGATGAAGATTCATTCAATGATGGATTGCGCTGTAGAGCTAAGACGAAAAGAATCAGTATATAGAACAGCGTTCGTTCTAAGGTCCGAGAATCTCATAAAGGCAGAAGCTGAGGTAAAACTGTTTGTGATGTCATTCTTAACTTTGAGAGAAGTTACGAGTACAGTTTCGATTTGATCATAAGAAACTGCGAAAAAAAATTGCAGGTTGATCTTCTTGGAGATCAAGTCGATTCACTTGTGAAGCTTCTCAAGAAAATACTTTGGACGTTTCATCAACATCCATTGCTTCTCAGCAATAACTCAGATGTAAGTTATTAAACCTCTTTTATGTTTTTCAGTAGATTGTTTCACAATATGTAGAACAAAACTTTATTTACTTTTGGGGTTTTTTTTCAGATATCAGAGATCTCGAAGATGATCAAGAAAGAGTTATCACATGAGGAGGATTTATCATGAAACCTTAGTTTGACAAAACCAAACAAATATAGTTTCTTGCGTGAAATCCTTATTACTAAAAATGTTTACAAGATTTATCAAATACAATTCTACCATATTTTGTTTTGTTTTTTAATTCTTGCATAAAATTTATGGAAGTCAAAGCATTAATTTATCCGATTTCTATAACAAGCTGAAATGTGTGTAAAATAATATCTCAAAATAAACTTCAATTTATAACTAAAAGTATTTTGTATTGAAAATAACAAAAATGTTTTAGCAAACATAATCTCAACATGGTCATGTATTCATAGCTAGTTAAAAAAATTAATCACTCACCATAACTCTTATATTTAGTCAAAATCACCATTTACTATAAAGAACCCTAATTAAAACCCTTATTTCTTGCATTCATCAGACACAAAACAAGATCTTAAAAGAGAACTGTCCAAAAACAAAAGAAAACTGTCCAAACCCACAAAACACAATCCAGAAGCAATGGAAACGAAACAGATCAAAGTGATGTTCTTGTTTTTATATGTGATCATGGCTTTGGTTTGTCTTCATCAATCCGAAGCTCAGGCTCCAATACCAAGTTCCAAAGATTGCTTATCGTCGATAACGAACGTTAAAGGTTGTCTCGATGCCGTGAAAGATGCCTTAAAAGGACACTTTAAAGGTTTGGGTAAGGAATGTTGTCACGCAGTCAATGGCCTCGCCGACGATTGTTTTCCGATTGTTTTCCCCGATAACCCGTACATTGCGTTTCTCGTTAAAGCTGCGTGCAAAGGCAAATTTGGTGATGTTAATTATTAGATGAAACATGTATTAGCTTCAAACGCAAGGCACTCTGCGATTTTGTGTGTGTTTTTCTATGAAAATTTAATGAATCAATTTAATTTCTCTCCAT